TGTGAGATCAAAGCTGCAGTCCACTCTTGCGGGGATGAGAATACTTCGTGGGAAGCAAAGATATGTGAGTTTCGATGGAAACGTGAGGTCTATACATGACATTATAGGCAAATTCAACTACCAGTCTTTCATAACCCTTAGCGAAGTAGGATGAATACGGCTAGAATATTAGATTTACTCGTAGTCTAGAAAGCATATCTATAAACGAACCCTTATTTATTGTCACAAATATGGCTGGAAAGGAGGGTAATAAGTGAACCGAAACTTACGTATTTCTACACAAATCCCTGCTACACCTATTCTCTTCTCTACCAATCAGACCCTGACGTACGGTAGCCTACTGTCTTATCATAACGGCATGGTCACTCTATTTGTCGCATCCACTCTAAATTCACTGACGTGAGGTAAGGAAACAGCTGAATGACCTCATACGCATCCATTGCACCGGTCTGCAAGCATGTAGGATACACATGCTATAACCACACGAACCACGGGATGCCCCAGTAAAATTATATCATACAATCTGAGAATGACGTAGGGTTGCCGATGACCACCATTCATTATCTAGAATCTTTTTGAAGTGTACTATTCACGGAATTGGTTCCCGCTCTGAAGATGTTTGCCATGAAAGAATAGGTGCGCTTCATTACGGGTTGAGTGGATTCATAGGACGGTGGTCCGAAGACTTGCTAGCAGAAATTGCAGCCCCAGCAGTCCATCGGTGCTCATTGAGACGCATTCACAAATCCCCTCCACGCATCTTCAGAAATGTGATAAATGGTCAAATAACCTAAGTTCGTGACCTCAACTAACTACCCAGTTTGGCATATTCCAGAGAGGAAGAATTCCACGAATAAAACAAAATAGGGACTCGATCATGTCGTTTATTTTAAGAAGGTCAGTGTATGGTAAAAAAATCGATAGGACTAAAGAAACGGGTATTTTCAGGCGCTGGGGTCCTTTCACATGGAGCCATTTCAAAATCACTTTACGTCTATATTTATCAATTGTTGAGCTTACTTCCATTTCGAGTGAAAGTGTTGGGTGAAGAGATTCAAAAGTCGGTTCCACCAAAAGACGACGGCGGATTCCCTTTGACCAGTTGTCGATTGGCTTTACTGGAATATTCATGCTGACTCTGTTTCCGAGGCAATCTCCTTCGATTCCGGTGAAAAGGTGCTAAGCTTTCGCCCGTCATATGACGAACATTATCAGAGCAAGGTAGCATCGTCACAACCAAATTCAAGAAAACTTGACTATCTCAGAAACAGCGTCAGCATGAATGCTTCAGTAAAGCCAATGGACAGCTGGTCAAGAGAATTCCGCCGTCGTCTTCTTCGAATCTCTTCACTCAACACTTTCACTCGAAATGGAAGTAAGCTCAACAATTGATAAATATAGACGTAAAGTGATTTTGAAATGGCTCCATGTGAAAGGACCCCAGCGCCTGGAAGTACCCGTTTCTTTACTTCTATCGACTTTTTTACCATACACTGATCTTCTTAAAATAAACGACATGATCAAGTACCTGTTTTGTTCTATTAGTGGAATTCTTCCTCTCTGGAATATGCCAAACTGGGTAGTTAGTTGAGGCCACGAACTTAGGTTATTTGACCGTTTATTACATTTCTGAAGATGCGTGGAGGGGATTTGTGAATGCGTCTCAATGAGCACCGATGGACTGTTGGGGCTGCAATTTCTGCTAGCAAGTCCTCGGACCACCGTCCTG